ACATGTAATGATAATACTTACTGCATGCTGATGGTAATAGGGTTAACTCAGCAATGTTATTGTAAGAACATTATATTAACTGGTGAATGTCAGCACATTATCACTTTGCATTATGTTAACATACATGAAAACAAAACACAGAGCCCAGAAAGTCCAATCAGATGTGATTTATTTTAAATATTTAAAAAATATATACAGATTATTTACATGATATACATACGTGAAGACAATTTAAGTTAGTAGGGCAGGAACAGAAGACTGGCCATTGAGAACATTTTGATCATTTATATACACTTATTTACATGTCAGAGGCAGTGATCATGATCAGCTCCTTCTATTATAACAGCAGTGTTTCAGTTCCAGTGTATCATCTGCAGTGCAGTGGTGGAGTCTTAAAGCTTGGATGTCTGATGGAGTCTCGTTGTATGAGTCTGACTGGAAGCCGTTGCCGTTGTCATCTTTGTCATGCTCCCAGCTCCATTCTTCTCCTGCCTGAAACAACATATGACACTGTTAGTAAAAATTAATGGAGATCTGACACATTCACAGCAGTATTTTATATTGGACACTGTGTTATGTTGTCTGAAGTTAGTGCAGTCCAGCCGTTCTTACTTTTCTTTGTTTTTCAGAATGAGCTGTCCGAATGGTGACTTTGGATTAACACATTTTTTCATATCTGCTGTTGTTGTAATACTAGGAGAGAAGAGAGAGGCATGTTAGAGAGAAGCTGAAGAAATGCAGAAGAATGACATGTTGGTAAATGTGGCTTAATTCAGCTCATTTACTCACATAATCTCTGTATGTGGACAGAAGTTACTTGGGCTGTGTATGACTGGTTCTCCCTTGATGAGCTTCGAACTGATCCTGCCAATAAAACTGTGACACTTGCACTTACTGGAAAGGTCCTGTTGTCCTGTGGGAAGAAAAGACACAACCTTATTAGCTGCTGATCATCTCTTCAGCTGCATCCAAGATGCAGCATTACAGCCAAACACTCCATATTATCATACAGTTACAGAAAGCATGTAGAAAATAGTTCAAGTGTTGTACTAAAGTGGGATGTCAGCTCTATCACAAGTACAAAACAATCACAGAACACTGAACTGTTGACAGTACCTTGTGCACAGAGGACAAGCAGGCTGGCGAGAAAGGCGATGACAGCTGAATTCATAGTTGTTGGCTGTAGACAGGTTATGGCTCACACTGTGTCTTTCTTCAGTCTGGACTCCTGATGATGTACAACTCACAGGAGAACTGTCTTTTATACACTGGTCAACAGCCACAGAACTGCTGTGCAGTATGAGGCAATGGTTTCACATTCCAGTTTGACTTTCACTTTCTCTGTCCCTTCCTTTTTCCTCTCACATGCCTGCTTCTCAGGAATCAGAGACACTTCTCCTCCAGAGGCTTTGTTTCAGAGAAACATTAAAGGAGCAGTGTGTAAGATTTAGAAAGATTTAGTAGCATCTGGCAGTGAGGTTTGGAGATTTCAACCAGCTGAAACTTCTCCTGATAAGATTTCCTCCAGTGTTCATAGATCATAAGGTTTTTAATGGGAGCCAGATTATCCACATTGGTCTCTTCCTCTCCAAACCAAACAGATTCTGTGATTTAAACTGGTTAAAACACAGAATCAAGCACGTTCGCGTTGGAAAATCTGTGTTTTTCCAACACTGCTCGCTGTGAAGGGGCTTGTAACTAAGGTGGCCGACGCAAAAATATGCCAGTGTTTGGTTTGTCCATTCTGGGCTACTGTAAAACATGGCAATGCAACATGGCAGTCTCTGTACACAAGGACTTGTTCCCTTTGTAAATATAAACTGTCCATTCTAAGGTCATGAAAACACAACAATTCCTATTTTCAGGTGATTATACACTAAATATTATTATAACATTCCATTTCTCCTATCATATCCTCCTAAATCCTACACACTGAAACTTTAAAGTGTATATAATGGCTTTGTCTTGTAATATTGTATCCATACAATTGAGAGGTCTCTCAGGGAATCAGTTCAATTAATTTCAGCTTTGATGTCCAAATTCTTGCATACAACAATTTGTTAAATGAAAACATGAATGACTGTCTAATGTTGTGTTCACACCAAACATGATGGGAATGTTTATGTTGCGTNAAGTGTCTGAATGGTTACACTTTTAGCCCACTTTTAGTTCACACGACTTTGCAGTGATCATTTTATAAATCATTTACATCATCATTTATAGTATGGTGGAGGTGTTAACACAACCTGCTGGAAAACATTTGGATAGGTTAAAGGTGTCGTACAATCTATCAGATAACACAGCTATCAGAAACGATTGTAAATTTATATGTGAACTAAACAGAATCAATAATGTTTATTTCACACACTCTTATTTACACAAGTGCAGTTTTTCCATCACTGCTACTAATGCAACTGTAGCCAGTGTCTCACTGTCACTATCCTCGTTCATATTTTAGGAAACTACAAATTATATTCAGCCACAAAAAAACCTGAAAACCTGGAAATCATAAAAGTAGTACAGAACTGAACTGGGCTTTAAATGGCAACAGCTAGGGCAAACGTTATGCCTAGACTGTGAATCTGGGGTTGCGCCATGGTGACATTGCCCAACCAAAGTAACTCAGTCCATAGGGTCTTGGGTTGGGAACACGAGGGTCGCCGGCTTGAGTCTCCGTTTGGACTTAATATGGAGCATGGACTGGTAGCTGGAGAGGTGCCAGCTCATCCACTGGACACTGCCAAGGTGTCCCTGAGCAAGGCATCAAACCCCCAACTGCTCAGGGCAGCTGTCCATGGGCAGCCCCCTCGCTCTGACATCTCTCCACGTACAGGTCCTGTTTGTGCATGGGTGTATCTTTAGGGCCTGTGTGTATATGACAACAGGGGGAAAAAAATAAATTTCCTCTCTGGAATTGATAAAGTATATCTTCTTCTTCTGTGTATTTGTTGAATGTCCTGCACTGTGACACAGTAATGAGAGTGAGCTTCTTGTTTATTTTATTCCTGTTTTTTCATTTGGTTTCATGTACAAAGTCCATCCACTATCAGTTAAAAAACAGACTGAATCTCTGCTGTTTACTATTGCCATGAGGAGTGAAGCTGGTCAGTTTTACACAAGAAAGCAAGCCAATATAACTTTTGCTACGTAGTGGCCACAGTGGCCTCAAGACTTTCAATGACAATGCTAAAATGTATTCTAAAAGTAGCACAAGTCTGCAACCTGATGCAGTAATGTGATGCTAAATGCCTGAGTCTATTGAATTGAGCGAGGGTGCATTTTATTGCTTTTCAATGTATTCATCTTTACATAATTAAAAAAAAAAGAGACTGCTTTTTCTTCAAAAGTTAATTAATCTCACTCCCTTATTTTTCCAGGACAGCATGCAAGATTACTTTTTTATTATCATTTCAAAATGCTAAATAAGGAAACACCAACCTTTTCAAGGGAATGTGCTTCTGATTATTTGTTGTCTGGTTTGCCAGAAAGTATTTTTAGGCAAGACAAGACCTTAAAGACAGTAATTTATAACTTTATTTGAGTCAGCAGCCTTTCCTCCACAGCATGATTGTAATTACCAGTAGTTTCTACATAAATACCTCTCTGGCAAATTGCACTATATCATTAGGTATATTTTACATAAGTAAAAGTTGTTTCATGTAGTGTCAGCATGTGTTCCCTTTCCTATAATTTTAGCATCGCCTTAAGACTTCTGAAGAAATGGGATGTGAAATTGAAACTAACAGACTGAGGGGAAGCCCCAGTCCCAGTGTTTACCCTGAATCCTCAGCGCTGAAGCCATAACAGTCTATCATGGATGTAATACTGGACAGGTATGTATTACAACTGAGCACAGGCCCAGGGGCCCAAAGTGTCCCCCCCCCCCCCCCATTCTTAAACCTCATTTAATCAGGTTGTCTCCTTGAAATTGGGATCTCTTTTATAAGAAAGACTTCAATCAATCAATTAATTTTATTTATAAAGCCCAATATCACAAATCACAATCTCACAGCGGAAGGAAAGACTCCCCAAAAAAACCCCTTTAACGGAAGGAAAAAAAAAAAAAAAAAAAAGATCACAATCAGAATGCAAAAACACAAATAAGGTGAGACAACCACATTTGACAAAGTATTAACAACATTATAGTTAGATGAGTCAGGGCAGCACAGTGGCACAGCAGGTAGTGCTGCCTAACAGCAGGAAGGTTCTGGGTTAAAACCACAGACTGCATAAAATGATGGATGTAGTCACCATTGCTTTGTGGACTCCTGTTTTGAAAATGAGTCCAAAAATAACAATTGCAAGGTAAATAATTTGCACTCCATTGTTTATAGGCCTATATTTTTTTACTTTTACATGAATGTTTATGACTGGAAATACATGACGGATGGAGTGTGTCAACAAAATGTTAACACCTCCGTGTGTTCAGCAAACGATTTTCAGGGCAATCGATTTGCAGCCAGTCACAGTTAATCCTTCCCAGACAGCACAGCGATGTAGCACTGACATGAATGGGCCATTTTGGGGAAAGTAGGCCTACAGGATTTAAATAAGAGAAGAGATATGATGTAGTTTGGAAGCTTCAACTGTAAAGCTTCATAGATAAAAACTATGAATTGATTATTGCTTTTTGTCAGTAAAAAGTCTATCCCACCATGTGATACAAAGAGCAATGATGAAATTTGTAATTAGTGTTAAAGCATAATGCACTGTGATGAACAGGGTTTAGCTACTAAAGTACACACTTAAAAATGCTGGGTTATTTTAATAACCCAATTGCTGGGTTCAGGCTGTTGGGTCATAGGTTGGGTAGATTTGACCTAACATTGGGTTAAAAATAGTGACCCAACGCAATGGGTTGAAGATGCCCGCGAAATTACAAGCTCTTCATCCGCCATTTTTATGAGGATGGCGACTTGACCTGACCTTCGACCCTCGACCCTCTTTGTGGATGTGAAATGAAACGGTAAGAAGGCAAAACTGAACCAAGACTTAGACGCTGTACAATAATACCCAACGTTACGCTACCTAAACATGGCCAGATCATTCTTTTTTTTTTTTTACTGTAGACATGAACTGAAGCTATCATTAGGTAACCTAACGTTAGCTTGTTAACTGTTGACGTCAGCGAGCTAGCGCGAGCTATTGTGAACATTTCGTGTGGTGCCATCTACATTATGGTGTATATATAGGTAAGCTGGCCAGCTATGGTAATTGCTGTGAAGTTAACTTTCTATCGATAGTGTGCCAACATTATTTGTGGAAATTGTGTCAAGTTTGCTTGTTAGCTCGCTTGCCAACTGCTCCGCGGACTGCAAGCTAACTAGCTCGCTAGCTTTTTAATAGGCAATATAGCGTTAATGCTGTGTGTTGCTACTGTTTCGGTGAAAAGGGGCCACTGAGTAGGGGTGTGAAGGTAACGTTATGTGTATTCATCCCGTACCGTTTGCTTCGGTAACATTATGCCCTGTGAACCAAGTTACTGGTACGGGCGGAACTTTAAATCGACCGTGCTAGTTTTTACCTGGTAAGTTTGGGCAGGGCACCGGTTGTTGCTGTAGCATGCTAGGTGACTTAGCCAGGTGAGCCAAGCTCATGTAACGTTGCTGCACTCCGAGCGGCAAACAGACCAGTTATGGGAGCATTACGGTTTAGAGACACGTTTCAACTAAAGTGGGGTAACTTTATGTTTACGACTATATGACCCGGATGTGCTTATTAATAGAACAAGAATAAAACAGTCAGTGCAGATCCAGACTGTAAAGCAAGCAATGCCACCATACTCCGTTTCAAGAATACATGCTTTAATCATGTTATTAACAATATAATGTTATAATTAATCATTTAATTATATCACCAGGTCAAAGGGCTTGAGTTCTGCTGTAATGTGCCTTAACGTGTGCATTTCAGTCAGTCCGTTGTGCTGCTCTGTATAAACGAGCACAATCTGCAGTTGCTTGGGCATCATCAACTGGTGATTGACAGTATTGACAGTATGCCAGCATTTGGGAGTCCTGTCTTTTACAGTTAGAATCATGGCCTCCTGTTTAATCTTTACATGACAAAAGTTACTTTCTACATTTTTTTTGTTTTCCCTGCTCTACTGAAAACATACAGAATCCTAACCCATGACTGTAAAGTTTGTGTGTCGTTACACCCCTACTAGTGAACTATTGGCCCATATGTACACAATCATTTGTATCTCTAAAAATATTTCTGTTTATTTCTGAAAGATGGATGAGTTCGTGAAGGCAAAACTTCTGGAATGGAACCTGGCTGAATTGCTCCCTGCTTTTGAAGGTAAGTAAATTAACATTAGAAACATATAAAGTAGGGCTGAACAATCTTGGGAGAAAAATTAATTGCAATTATTGTGACTGATATTGTTATTGTGTCACAATTTGCTATATTGGAGGGGGTGGTAATTTATATATAAATTATATATAAAGTAGTATTCACTGTTTTGGTCAGTCTGGTATATACCAGTGGTTCTCAAACTTTTTCTGGCATACCCCCCTTCAGAAGCAAAAAAAAGTTCACGTCCCACACCCCACATTTTTTATCAATCATTAATAATAATTTGGAAAGCGACTAAAAAAAAAATCATCAAATTTTAGTGAAATAAAGGTCACCATGATGGCATCAGCAAACTTTGTTTATTTGTTTACCTTACCAACATAAATCATATTCATTCAACTCAGTTTCATTCCATATTTTTTACTGGTCATCTGGCTCAGCCTGCAGTGGCTCTATGCTCTAACCAGTGGCTCCCACAGTTTAAGAACCACTGGCATACACACTGAAGCAATTGTTGGATCATGCAGGCACATTAATAAAAAAGTAGTATACTGGTATGCAAAACTCAGTGTTGAGGTTCAGTTAGAACAAGGTCCTGTATCAGATTAATGAAGTTAATCTTTTTCTTTTTTGTTTGTTTTTGTTTTGTTTTTTCAGATTGGAACTAACATGGTGGGCTACCTGAGCGGAGCAACAACAGAGTACCCATATGTCCTCATGCTGGGGGAAGAGCATCAGTGTTCCCAAGCGTTTGTAATCATAAATGGGACAGCCATGGAGCACCCATCTCTTTTGGGTGCAGTTGATGGGTGTTTCAAGGCATTTTTTGTGTTTGATGTCACTTACCCAAAACCATGTGCCCAGGTTTGGAAGTTCATACAGACAGTCATCTTCAACATCCCAGGACATGAATCAAATGCCATAAAGTTAATGAGAGCTCAGTTAGCTGTGATCTAAGTACATTCATGCCAGATTTTAAAGTGGGCTACTCCCTGGTTACATTGTTCATGATTTAAGTATGTATGTTTTCTAGATTTTAAACAATGCCATAAAGTTAATGAGAGCTCAGTTAGCTGTTGTTTTCTAGATTTTAAACAATGCCATAAAGTTAATGAGAGCTCAGTTAGCTGTTGTTTTCTAGATTTTAAAGTTGGCTACTCCCTACATGATTACATCTTTGTGTCCATAGAAAAACTTAAAAAAAAAAAAAAAGAAATGAAATTGTTTGACAAAAGTTGCTCATGTTGAACATGAATATGAAATTAATTTTATAATATTTATTTTTTATATTACAGATTTTTTTTTTTTTTTACATGTATTTTCATACATTATTGCTTGCAATAAAAGAATCTGAGACATGATGTACTTTCTTCATCATTTAATAATTTAATTTCATAAATTCATTTCTTAATGCAGAAGTAGATTTAAATGAAATAAGTGATAACCCAGATTTTGGGTAGTATTTTTCAACCCACCTTTGGGTAGCTTTAACCCAACAACCTGGTCATTTTAACCCATTTTTTGAGTAGAAAACATAACCCGACATGCTGGGTCAAACCCATAACCCAACCCTGCTGGGTTAAAACAACCCATGGCTGGGTCGGTCCCTTTTTGACCCAGCAGTGGGTTACTGAAATAACCCAAGTTGGGTTATTTTTAACCCAGCAGTTTTTAGTGTGTAATGATTGGGCATTGTGACAGTAAAGAACATACAGAAATTTGTTCTGTATGTTGTTGTAATCAAGTGCACACATAAAAAAATAGTTTTACAAAAGTCAGACTGCCTTTGATATCTATGATTTTATTATTATTTTTAATTAAACATTGAATGTATCATGAGCAGCAGTTTGTTGTCAAGCCAGTGTGTGTACGAATCAGTGAGCATGATATGGGTACAATTTAAAGTTTTAATGTCAGGACAGTCAAAGACATTGATGAAAGTGGAGAGTACCATGAACTTGGTTCTATTTGCCTTTAAAAGACGTCTATGATTACTGTACAAAGTGATGATTGGAAAGCATCAAAGGAAGAATGAAGGTGAGTCTGAGCCTGAGGCATATAAAATTGCATCATCTGCATAAAAACAGAAGAATTACATTATATGTGTAACGATAATACTTACTGATTGCTGATAGTAATAGGGTTAACTCAGCAATGTTATTGTAAGTACATTATATTAACTGGTGAATGTCAGCACATGTTCACTTAGTGTTGTGTTAACATACATGAAATCAAAACACAGAGCACAGAAAGTCCAATCAGATGTGATTTATTTTTAGTATTTAAAAAATATATACAGATTATTTACATGATATACATGGAGATTATTTAAGTTAGGAGGACAGGAACAGAAGACTGGCCATTGAGAACATTTTGATCATTTATATTCACTTATTTACATGTCAGAGGCAGTGATCATGAACAGCTCCTTCTATTATAACAGCAGTGTTTCAGTTCCAGTGTATCATCTGCAGTGCAGTGGTGGAGTCTTAAAGCTTGGATGTCTGATGGAGTCTCGTTGTATGAGTCTGACTGGAAGCCGTTGACGTTGTCATCTTTGTCATGCTCCCAGCTCCATTCTTCTCCTGCCTGAAACAACATATGACACTGTTAGTAAAAATAAATGGAGATCTGACACATTCACAGCAGTATTTTATATTGGACACTGTGTTATGTTGTCTGAAGTTAGTGCAGTCCAGCCGTTCTTACTTTTCTTTGTTTTTCAGAATGAGCTGTCCGAGTGGTGACTTTGGATTAACACATTTTTTCATATCTGCTGTTGTTGTAATACTAGGAGAGAAGAGAGAGGCATGTTAGAGAGAAGCTGAAGAAATGCAGAAGAATGACATGTTGGTAAATGTGGCTTAATTCAGCTCATTTACTCACATAATCTCTGTATGTGGACAGAAGTTACTTGGGCTGTGTATAACTGGTTCTCCCTTGATGAGCTTCGAACTGATCCTCCCAGTAAACTCTTTATAACACTTGCACTTACTGGAAGGGTCCTGTTGTCCTGTGGGAAGAAAAGACACAACCCTATTAACTGCTGATCATTTTACACCCCTGATAACAAAAGCAAACACAATCTTAACGCATTTTTATGATTTTGGACCAAGATGGACCTTTTAATCCATCAGCAGACTGGAACGAACATGTATTACTATTTTACTGACTGATTGTTTTGTTCATCACTACCAGCGACCCCTTGCAAAGTCATTTGATCTACTATTAATGTAATCAACGTAATTATCCTGAACTGCTTCTTCCATTTAGGGTCGCAGGGGTGCTGGAGCTCATCCCAGCTGACATTGGGAGACAGGCTTAAAAGTATTGATTAGTGCAGCTTTAAAACTCTAATCTCTATGCATTTTAACTGAAACACATTGCTAAACTTAAACCAAAGTGTCATCTTTTACTGACTTTCATTGACATTTAGCCATTTTGAGCTGCATTGTTGCCTGTGGCTGGAGAAAAGAAGATGAGTTGTTGGGACTATAATATTTGTCAATCAAAATAAAACGGCATCACGGGGTTGGTTCTTTTGACAATCCTACTTGTGCAGAACGCAAGATACAGCACTTAGAGTAAAGCTGTCCATATTAAATATACAGTAACAGGAAAGCTGAGCATATTAATATGGCACTAAAAGTAAGTATAAGATAATCACAGAACACTGAACTGTTGACAGTATCTTGTGCACAGAGGACAAGCAGGCTGGCGAGAAAGGCGATGACAGCCGAATTCATAGTTGTTGGCTGTAGACAGGTTATGGCTCACACTGTGTCTTTCTTCAGTCTGGACTCCTGATGATGTACAGCTCACAGGAGAACTCTCTTTTATACACTGGTCAACAGCCACAGAACTGCTGTGCAGCATGACACAATGGTTTCACTCTCCAGTTTGACTTTCACTTCATCTATCCCTTCTCTTTTCCTCCAACATGCCTGCTTCCCAGAAATCATACTAGTCAACAGAAATACCTCTTTGTGATTTACAAGAAGAGAGGTCTTTGAGGGAATACATAGAGAAAAAAAGGCAGTTTTTGCTTCAACAATTAAACAACAAGTTAAATTTATTTATTCATTTTGCAAGTGCATAAGTTAAGTGAGAAATTTAAAACCCAAAGTATCATAATTTCCCCCTATACTATCTGACAGATAAATGTCTTGTGCATTCCTTTACCGTGACTTAGGTTTGGTAGTCGAACCATCAACACAAACCTGGGCATGAGACTCAACAATCAACTAGGGCTGCCCCTGTCCAAGAATCGTCCTTGTCAACCAGTAGTCATCATTTAGGGCCATTAGTCAACTAGTCGCCCGCATGTTTACGATATTAACTTAGTTATTAAATGAGATATTTTGGGCAGGGCAACCCAATGGTTTGAGTTCAAGGTCTGAGAAAGAATAGTATAAATTACATTGTTAACACTGTGCTACATTACAGAGAGATACAAAACCATATCAATGACTCTTAATATAAGCATATATTTTATCAACACATGCACGTGACACACTGAGTAAGCCGCCTTGGGGTGTGTGACAGCAAAGCGGTGATGATGTGCTAAGTGATTAATGGGCATGTAGCTACTTAAATGTTTCAGATAATACATCATGTTTGTAGTCGAAGAATGAGTTTACATATCACCTTGGGTTCGTCCTTTATCCCACACTTTGGATTTCCTGTACAACATGTTATTTTATAACCTGTGTAATAACCGCAGGTACCAGCCTCAACGTGACTCCTGTCTGACTGCTGAGCATGGCCATTTCCTGTGTCCAGGAAGACCAGTCATATAGGTTTTGATTAATTTTGACAAGTCGCAGTCTTTCACATTTGTATGTTGTTGTTCTTTTTTGTTTTGTATTTTTGCAACCAATGAAATCTTGCAGACTAATGACCTTTCTGGTCAACTAACCATTGGTTGACTATTAGGGGGCAGCTGTGCAATCACCTGTCTTTTTCAAGGATTACAAACTGCATCTTTAAGTACATTGTAATACTAATACTTTTGCACTTTTACTAAAAATGGGAATGCACTTTTATTTGTAACAGAGTATTTCTAAAGTATTTCTTTTACTAAAGTAAAAGATCTGAGCGCTTCTTCCGCCACTGCCAATATACCACAAAACATGTGGTACAGTACCACAACCCCTGATACATTTCCACAGAACCTGTGGTACATTGCTACAGTAATACCACAGGACAATATGGAACACAAAAATTACCACAGTAATTTACTTTTGACTTACAATAGTGTAACAGGCTACTACTAGAATTACTGCCTCATGGTTGTGTGCCTCTGCAAGCCAGTCAGGTTGTACTTACAGTTTACATCCCTGTCTGTGAAAACATGGATGCTTCACACACATCACTTCAGTAGCTGACCAAATGTCTCCCCTTCTAGTGTAGAAATTCTTGAATTATGGCCAAAAACTTGCTTTGTCAGCTCACAGTGACCTTGACCTTTGACCTTCAACCACTAAATTCTAATCAGTTATTTCCTAAGTCCAAGTGGAGGTTTGAGAGAATCCCTCAAGGCTTTCTTGAGATATTGTGTCCATAAGAATGTGACAGATGCAAGGTCACAGTGACCTTGACCTTTGACCATGAAATTCTCATCAGTTCATCATTGAAACCAACAGAACATTTTGTCAAATTTGAAGATATTTACATATGGCATTCTTGAGATATCATGTTCACAAGAATGGCATGGACAGATGCACGGACAACCCAAAAACAAAGTACCTCCAGCCATGGCTGTAAAAATTTGATACATGAGGACAACTAAACAAAGAGTAGCTTACAGTAAAATTTAATGAGGTCCAGATGTCAGGAACCTCAGTGGTAGGTAGCGATGGCAGTGATCCTTATAGAGGAGTTATAGTAACAGTTATATGTAAGCATGCATACACAGATACAGACAGCAATAAGGGAAGAGGACAAAGCAAAGTGGCCAGGACTAAAGGGCAAATGTGCAGGCAGGAACTAAGTGCTGTCATCTTAATGTTTTTTTTCTAATGGGAATTTGTCAGTGTTTTTCTTTTGGTGTCTTCTCTCCTCAGGGTTTCTTCCTTGTTGTGAAAAGAAGAAACGCCTACAATGCCTCAGTCCTTGTTTTTTCCATGTGACACACCCTGCCAAGCCTGACTAACCTGCCTGGAATGCAGCATCAGTTAGAATGGGAGGGACCATATGTACACATAGACAAGGCTCATTGCAGACACACTGTATGAGAAGACAAATTGTATGAATAATTTGCTGTGTTTTACGGTATAGCCCAAGCAAGAACCCCAGGTAAGAGCTACCTGACTGTAAAGTTATGTGTGATCTAGCTTTTATCATCATGTAGACACAAAACTAATTATATCTTTTTGCTTTATGAGCCTGCTCTTTTATGTCTTGGGTGTAACAGCTGTTATCTGTAATGGTGCTGTTTAATATGCCCTAAGTGAGTGGGTAGTTGTTTTTATCAACTTTAAGTAAGATTTAAAATCTACAGTATCCTCTTTGGTTCATGCTGTTTGCTTGTATCACCACATAAGGAATTCTAGCTTAGCAACATGCTACAGTGTTATATGTGAATCAGCTATTTTACATCTAAATTATAATTGTCTCCTAAAATCATATTATAAATACTGATCAGACATTAATGTCTAATTATTATTATTATTAAGGAAACAAGAAAATGAACAGAAACTGTTAAAAAAAGTCAGTGTAATCACCTTAAAACAAGATTGATGTTGGTGTGGTTCATCTTTATTTACTTGTTGTGTAACTGAGTTCACGGTGCATGTTTTCTTGGATAATAGATGTAGCGTCATTGGTTTGTGGACTCCCATTTTGAAGCCTTGGGTTTGGCATTTTGGCCGTTGCCATCTTGGGTTTTTGGAGCCATAAGTGACCACAGTTGGAGGAGAGGGTGGAGCTAAGCCTAACGCTAGCTGGTAACTTGATTAGCCCAGTAAATTACAGCTATGGTTAACTGTGATAATACTAATGCTAATGCTATTTTTCGCTAGTAAAAACAGGCTTACAACCATTTAAACAAAATATTCTTACTGGGAAAACTGAATATCTGACTCCTTAGAGCACATATAGTCAACTTACTTCACCTGTGAGGGCAGTTTTGTAAAATGACAGGGGTGGGGTTGAACCCTGGGGTGGGGAAGCCCTTCTGTGCGGAGTTTGCACGTTCTCCCCACAATGTTAATGTGGGTTTTCATCGGGTACTCCGGCTTCCTCTCACAGTCCAAAAACTTAGGTTAACTGGTGACACTAAATTGGCCGTAGGTGTGAATGTGAGCGCAAATTGTTGTCTGTCTCTATGTGTCAGCCCTCTTGCCCAGTGTCAGCTGGGATAAGCTCCAGCCCCCCTGCGACCCCTAAGAGGATACGGAAAACGAATAAATGAACTACTGAATAATATACTAAATGAACTGCCTTTTTTTCAACCTTGTGACATTTGCTGCCAAGAGTCAAATCCAGTCACAGTAGCCCCTCACAGGTCAGGTATATGCAGCGGTGTTTCTAGGATTTGAGGACACTTGGGGATTAGCCTGGACCTTTGCTGGGGGGTCAGGGGTATCCTCCCCTGGCACTTTTTTTGATGAACAAACTATTGTGATGAAGAACTGTTTGACCTTTTTAACATTTAGTGTAAAAATAATTCCCAATCTGGACTGGTTGCCTCTTGTGGGTCAGATTTGGTCCACAGGTTGTAAGTTGGGTATAGTTGCCTTGGAGGATCTTTTAGTACAACCCAAATGCTGAGCAAGACTTTTTTAGGCGACCAAATCGTTACAATACATGGACTGACAACAAACTGAAATAGCAGCAGCAGCTACAGCTACGCCTATACTCAGTGAATCTGGGGTTACACCATAGTTATGTTAAACAACGTTGTCGCTCTGTCAACAGATGGCAACCGACTGTCACTCAAAATGGCCATGCCCTTAATTATGTATAAATTAAAGCCTTAATAATGCTTAAACTGGTGAATTATATAAAAATTCACCCCCCTTACATTATAGAGACCAAAACTGTTTTTTGAACCAGGCTGTAAACAGCTTTTAACAATTGAAACATGTTTTTTTTAGCTGAATGTCATTCTTTAACTGGTTAAACTGATTTCTGCCCAGTGTCACAAATGGAAAATAGAAAAGGTGCCGGCACCTCCAGAGCTGCCAGGCGAAGACGCTGGTGGCATCTGAGACAGCGATGGAGGATGATAGGGGTGTTTGAGATCAACGAAGAACATGAGTTCTTCTATCTGACATCCATGATAAAAGAAGGCATGCATGCTTCCATTCAGACCAATATGGATACCCCAGGCCAGGTAAAGAATCTGCTATTTAAAAGCCACTGGTTTGATTATAAATATGAAATACTGTGGACATAAAGTCACTCATAAACACTTCACCTTTTACACAGGATACACTCACAGCTGAAGATTTCAAGGCAGTGGAAACTCAAACCCACGAGGCAAGTGGTCATTCCCAGCTCAAAACTATTTTTTCAATAACCCAGCGATTTTTAAAAATCTTGTTTTCATCTGGATAATGCTATTAGTTATGATGAAATTGTCAAAAGTTCTTGCCCATTATACTTTTGTTGTTCTAAGAATTCATTTCAAGTTATTTACAGTGAAACAAACACTACAACATTGTCAAGGCTTCTTTTTGATTCTTGCCTTCCAGGGGTTTGAGATGCAAACATTTGCAGAATCAGTGTTTGCTAAACTGAGGCATTCACTGGACATTACAGAGGAGGATTATAAGAACTCCCTCTGCTCAGCCGGCCACTACCTCCAGTTTGTCAGTAACTCCAAGAGCAGGGCAGATTTCTTTGTCACGTGAGCACAGTGTTCTGTTCTTCTAACATACACACAAAAATGTACTCATATTTATGTTGCAATTGTAGCCCAGTGTGCCCAGGAACTACACCTGCAAGGAATGATTCTGCACCTCACGATTCATGTCCAACTCCAACATTCACTGCTAATTTAGGAAGTAGTGTGGCCTTTATGTACTGTAGCAAGGTGGTAGGAGTGTTGAGGTTGGATTGGTAGATAAGCATGTGAAGTGTACAAAATTCCATCTGACAATCTGGTCCTCCAGAACAGCATAGACCTACACTGACCACTCATCAGTACCAAACAATATTCATTATATATGCAGCAAAAAACAAACAAGAAATTTTGCTAAAAACATTTTGCAACAAGTTTAAAGAGACAGGTTTGGGTTTTTTAATCTCCAATTACATCCATTGTCTGCAATTATTCAGTTTTGCAAACAAGCACTTGCCCTGCATCCGCAAAGCTCAGCACCAGAACTGATCGAGCTCTAAGATGGCTGCTGGGCAGTACAGGTAAAAGCTATAGGCAGGTTTTTACCGGGAGCTATATCATCCTGAGGGAAAGTCGGTGGCTCAGAGGCAGATTGGATTGTTCAGTCTCCAGCTCCTTCAGTATGCATGTCAAAGTATCCTTGAGCAAGATACTGAACCCCAAATTGTTCCTGATGGCTGTTCCACCAGTGTGAGAGTGTGTTAAAAACGGAGTAGCAGATGACACTTTGTATGGTAGCCTCATTCACCAGTGTATGAATGTGTGTGTGTGAATGGGTGAATGTAGCTCATAGTGTATAAAGTGCTTTCAGATGACTAGAAAGGCGTTATACAAGTGCAGGTCCATTTACCATTCACCATTTGTTGGAGCCATCCACACCCCTTCTGATCCCCCCAGTCGGACTTCTGCCTAATAACTTTCGTTACTGTCCTACCGCGTTTCCTCCTGACACCGCTGGACATGGATTCCCCCTAAATCCTACACACTAGACCTTTACCGGTAACTGAGCTGGTAAGAGCTGTTCAAAAGATGCCAAGTGTATACTTGAGCAAAGTGTGGAATACAGCAGCTAATTAACAAGTCTCCAAATCCCATTTTCTAATTAGTTTGTTCTGAGATTTAAGGACTATTTCAGAAGTTTTTTCATTGGAGAAATAAGGACTGGTATTTTGCATATAGACTCATATACATATATTTTACAGAACCATGGAGTTTAGATGTATTATTTAGCCAATATCCAGGCCCTGCAGCTGTGGCATCACAGACCGGACTTTGCATCCCATCCCAGACCAGTAATTAAGGTTAGATTTTTTTATTAACCGTGATCTTTCTCTAACCTCAACCTTACTACAGTTGCCAGATATTTAAAAGAATTGTTTTTTTAAAAAAAGGTTTGCATCAGACTTGGGCAGTATCAAGGTATTACGGCATACCAGAATATTTAGAACTCCCAAAGGTATGGTTTTTCCATACCATCAAAAATGCAGGCGCTTCTCTTTCTATTCAGCTGATAGAGATGCTGTATTGAGGTGATGTAGTGCACAACATGTACCACCAGAGGTCAGTCTCTACTGGCTGATAGCCAGCTGAGCTGAGAAAGATGATCACTGTGAGTGGTGGGGATAACTTTACATGAAAGAAAAATGCTTTTGCGCCTGTTTGGAAGTATTGCCACACATATGTTTATCTTGAGATTACTTATTCTAACCACAAAATAAGTCTATTAGTCACATGATTTTATTCAACACATACTCTCTTCTTTAGACAGATACTGTCATATACCCTGGTGAAATATCAAGAGGGTATGAGAGTGTGAAAAACAATTGACACAGTCTGGAGTTTTGCAGAATTATTCAATGTTGACATCTGGTTCGTGTTCGTGTTCTTGTCTAGTGATGTGATTGTTTTTGGTTTTAGGAATGACAAAAGATTCTTCCTAAAGACCCAGAGCAGGCGCGAGATCCAGTTTCTCCTGTCCAATCTGCCGGCATACGTAGACCACTTGGAGAAATACCCTCATTCACTGATGGTGAGGTTTCTAGGTAAGAGAAGCTTTGGTTAATGCTGTGGTAGGTGATTTTTTATTTTTTTAATTTTATTTTTACTTTTTCAGTCAAACTTTAAGAGCTGTCATCCCCACAGCTGACACACTGTTGACCACTAGAGGTCCTCAGGAGTCAAAAAAAATGTGCTTGTCCAATCAAAAAGAACAGTTGCCTAATGTACCCTAACTTTGTGCTTTCCAAACGTTGTCTGTCACGCCTCCATTCTACTTGTGAAAATATCTATAAGCACCCCCCCACCCCTCCCAACATACCCCCATACAAGCACATCCTTTGCTGTGAACATCTACATATGGTTGTTATTATCATATTATAATATGATTACATATATAATGATATGAATCATTCTTTCTGTTTTCCAGGTGTCCACAGGATTGTTATTCCAAATGAAATAAAGGTATTTATTTACATAACAACCAGTAGGTCATTATATCCAATCTTACAGTACCAGTACTTATAATGCAGTGCCATCTGTCTGCTTTCCAGAAGTACTTCATTGTGATGCAGAGTGTGTTTTACCCTGATGAAAGGATCAATATTAGGTACAGTATGTTTCCCCCATGTTTCATTGTGTGGATTTATGATATATGTCATAGGTGTGATGCTTTTTGTTGCATAGATACGACATTAAGGGCTGTGAGGTGGGTAGATGGACTAACCCTGACACAGGGGGGAAACAAATAATAAAAGTACTGAAGGACAATAACTTCGAAGGGCAGTACATTGCATTAGGTAAGTGTCCGCTCTCCAACACACACTCACTCTTCTTATTTCTGTGGTTATATAAATGACACTGTTGAGCAATCAAGTTCAGCAGCAGAATGAAATTGACCCAAATACAGTTAGTTTGTGAATGCTACATTAAATGGAAATTCTTGTATGGTTGCTGAAGGTCAAGAGAAATCCTGGTTTCTCCAACAATTGAAAATGGATGCTGCCTTCCTTCAAGGGCTTAATGTGCTGGATTACAGTCTCCTACTGGCCCATCAACCTCTGCACCGAGATGAGCAGGAAGGGAAACACTCTCTGGCAAACCTTGTGATTCGCGCCACAAAGTAGGTTTCATATGACCTTTGAGCAAGTGCAAAACAAACTGCTGTGAATTACAGTTTCTCTTATTGTTTTTTTTTACTTTTTGTATGTTCACCTACTCATAAAAAGCTTTCATGAAATGAATGTACTGTTAAAGGAAATTCATCTATTCACTTTCTTGCTGAGAGTTAGATGAGAAGATTGATACGGCTCCCATGTCTATGTGCTAACTCTGGAGCTAGAGCTAGTTGTTGATGAGCAAAGCTTTGCATAAAGGCTGGAAGCTGGTGAGAAAGCTAGCCTGACTCTCCAAACCTCAAAAATAGTGTACTAGAAGCTGTTTCACACCAAGCATGGATTTTTGTCTGAAAAATTTGTGCGAAAATTTGTGGAAAAAAAGAGCAGTGTTAGTTCAAGCAGGACACAATGTCAAGCTCAACTTACATCCCAGCTACATCAGCTAATCTCAAGCAGCCCAATCAACTGATGGAGCAGCCAATTGATGGAAGGGAGTCAGCTGATAGATCACATGATTCCTCTCTATGTAACTAATTGGCAAATCTCATTCAGGGTGCTCTACTTAAACTGCTTTGGCCCACCTACTGTCACTGTTTCCTCTGCAAGCAACCTGCCTCCACCCCAGCTCCTCCTTTTCATGTTGTGTCTGACATTTCAGTGTAATTTCTGTTATTCAATGATGCTTGCTCTGTTCTTTTCCTGGGGGTCTTTGCTGCTGCCTTAGGCTTTACATGTAGGTGCATGGAGGGGCAGGGAGGTTTGCTTTCTCTGCCTCAGGCTTTCCTCATATGCACGTGGAAGGGCAGAGAGGGCAGAGTGGTCCTGACTGAACTGATTTTGTGGGTTATGGTTTGCACATAATCATTTCTCCCACTGATGAATGTCCTGCAAACATTCATCAGTGGAAAAAATATTCAGGTGGACCTCGGTTTCAGTGGATTTCCACCTGCAAAAAAAATATGTTTGACCGCTGAAATCCTTTGTTCCAATTTATGTCGCACCTCCAGGTCATAGCTAGCTTGCTGCCAAAACAAGGGAATGTCTTATCAGTTGGGTTTTTTAACACCCAATATTGTACAAAAAACACCATGGCTGCTACCTCAACAACCAAATAAGGGACAATATGTGGCCTGAGATTGGCTGGGATACAAAGACGATGGCAATGTAGCTGATATGCAGTGACTAATTTTATATGTTGGTCATGAAAAGGGGCTAGCATCGGCATCAAATTTGGGGGCCATTAGTTTATATATCATTCATGTTAGCCCCTTCGACATTCTCTGTTTGGATATGTTTTTGTTATGTGGACAAGGGCTAATATTATTATTATTATCATCACAGGCTATTATTTAGGAGAAAAAACTCATTGGGCCTCATTCATGTTATTCGGTTATTTATTGATGAAAATGGAGCACAGCAATGTGAATAATTTGCACTGGACCAAGTGTTGTGTCTCAACTGGTTTTAAATACTAACGAACTAACGATTGATTTATGCTTGACACATCCGTGAAGGTTGTGAGTGTCCACGCAACCATGGGTGTTCAGTGTGGCAGGTTTTAGATTGTCCATGCATGTCTGACATATTGTATTTGATTTTCTTTGGCTGCTTGTGACTGTGATCTTCCATCTCAGGTGTCGATTGCCATTTGAGAGACTAGGTTACAGCCTCAGAATAAATCAGAAATTAGCTTCAGATCAGAAAATTGGTGGTTTGATCCCTGGCCCCTGCAGTCAACATGTTTAAGTGTCCTTGGCCAAGAACCAAGATTTGCTGATGTGTGAGTGTGAATTTTTATCTGTGTGAATGGGTGTTGCAAAGCACTTTCAGTGTTTGCTTAACCTAGAAAAGTGCTACATAATTGCAGTCCATTTAATTGGCCTCTTGGATGATCTCCAGCGTCATGTGGCATTTAGCACCTGGCTACCCTACTTTCTAAGGGTTGGAATCTACTGAGCTCTAAGTCCAGGCATCACAAGTTAATGCCATCCTTCCTGCTGTACTCATAGATTCTTCAACTTTATGCTTCACTTCTCCAAAGAGCTTGGGTATGCCTGTGTCCGTGAAAAAGCATCGGGGTGGAGTCACATACCTGGGTTCCATGGTTAGCATGTAACAAAAGCCTTTGTTTTCAACAATGCTGTACAGATGCAGATCTTTGCACATTAAGTAGACAATGGACTGTACTATTTTCCTAGCTCTCTCAGAGTCTGATGGTAGTTTTGTCAAGCTAAATGTGTTCAGTATTGGTGGAGTGGGTTTAACATTAGCTTGGCTGTCAGCGGCTAATGCTATCTCTGGATGGTGAGTGTGAGGGGAATCTTCATGTTCATAGTATTCCCAGAGTATTTTATTCTCATATGACACTGCCTGCAAATCGCATATGTCATATAAAAGTCCTCCTTTCCTTCTGCATTAAAAAAATCCAAAATAAGTCCAGATGTTTGATTTAAATACCAGGAAAAAACATTGGCACCATCTAGTGGACTGAAAAAGCAATTGATTTTATTATTCTAGTACCAAAAGTTGTATTAAAATGTATATTTGCAAAAACTAATAATGTAGATAATAAAAGATTGATACTTGGAGTCCACATATCATTAAAATACTGCCAGGCAAAATATAGTGATACTAGGCTTTATTGATTTTTGATTGGTCAATCTTTACTTTGATAAATACAAGAACAAGCTCCATGAGCGTCAGTTGACCTTTCTGAATTTAAATGTTCATTCAACACAAATCTGATATCACAGAACATCTTGGTGCAGAGTGTCATACCAAAAGCTGAAACTCCCCTTACATTTGACTCAGCTTTATATAGCACCTAGTTTCTAATATAATCCCACCATAATGCAGGGATAGGCCATGTGTGTGTAACCCTCGGTCAAGACCATCTCTTTTCCGTTCTTAACATGGGAGTGTTAACATCTCCAAGGTCATCTTATCTTCATCTCCTGACACCTCCTGACACCAACAGCCTCCTCTCACATCATTAAGAAGCAGGTCCTAAACCAGACTTCAATTAGTCTGATCTCTTCAACCCAAAGTTGGCCTTATGACAGATTGATCTGGGTTTGTTTAGTTAACTGTTTGTTCGACTTCTTAAAACAAGCTTTTCACATTAAGCCCTGCTTTTCTTTGCAACCTTTATGAACACCCCTCTGACTGTGTTCTGTGGATTCTTTTTCTTTCCCATAGATCTCTAGACTTAGATGAGAGTCCCACATCTTCAGATCCCCCCACCATTCCATTACTGGAAGATGCTGTGGGTGAGGTGGCACCAGATGCTGCAGACGGTGGGTCAGACCAGCCACAAGCAGAAGCTGAGGGCACTGGTGAAGGGATCCCCCTCCAGGAGATAAACTGCCCTGCCAAAGAAACCAGGACTGACTCAGAACTGCAGGACTTCTATGAGCATCATCGGAGGCTACTGCCCAACTGCAAAAATGCTGTTCATGTTGCAGATGGGCCAGACTGGCGCTACTTTGTAGGCATCATAGACATTTTTACTGTCTATGGCTGGAAGAAAAGACTGGAGAACCTGTGGAAAAGCCTTCGCTACCCAGGCAGGGCCTTTTCCACAGTCAGCCCCCCCAAATATTCACGCAGATTCTGCCAGTGGATGCAGGACCACTGTCAGTGACACAATGCAGAAAACATTCAGCACTCATATACAGAATGTTGCTGTTTAACCCCCAGTTCCCCAGGATGGGGCTGTCATATTCTGGCTCTGTCCTGATGTTGTGATGTAGTGCCTCAATCACAATACGACGAGCTCCATCTAGTGGAAATCTGGGGTACAACTGTAACCTGTCATTAAGTGTACTGTGGTGGCTGGGCTAATTTAATAAATACATATAATCAAAACAAATACATAAACCTTGCAGTGATATATGCAGATTGTGAAGAAGCACTCCCCATACTGTCCATTCAATATGTTCACTTTGCTTTCCACCTGCTCAGATCTCCCTTTCAGGTCTTTCTGTTGAGTTTTCCTCTTTGTCATTAATATAAAACTGTGTGTTGTGCAACATGAAATGTAAATAAATTGTTGTTCAACTGATTGTTGAATGTATAAAGCTGTCATATTCATTCAGTTAAATACCTTCAATCATCATACAAGAGTTGTGTCTGTCAAAACAAATATCCACTGGTTGGCAAGTTATCACTTTACCAACGGCCTTGTTTTGTATGAGCTTGAAGCTTTGCAGCAGGTGTCTAATGTCGTGACTAAGGAGTGAAACGGCTGGGTTCCAGTCTGATTCCACAGGGTTTATCTGGCAAAGTGGTATGGCCGGGACGACAACAACCTCTTAAGGCCCAGACCTACCAAACCATCACCAAAGAACTAGCGGTGATGAAACCTGACTGTTGCGTTGCCTCACGTCACCATACAAAAGGTTGCACTTGGAAACACTGCAAATACTACAGACAATGACCAACCAGTACGTACATTTTGCACCTGTGTGTAATAGGTCATAACTCTCTTTACCAGCAGGGAGTGGTAGTCTGTAATTGTCTTTAAGAAAAGGGAAACAGCCAGGATGGAATCAAGATGCTAGTTAGCCAGTTAGCACATTAACACGACTACCAGATGTTAAAACAACAAAGGATTTACAGTACATGTTTGGTTCAGACAGATAATCTTTACAAATTAACACTTTCACAATTTTTGAAGTGTAAATGCAATCGACAGAAGTAAAAAAGCTAACGTTAGACTATAAGCTAACTACACCGCTAACGCTGCCACCATGACAAGGCTGTAAAGCTGTGTTCGCCGTGATGACGTTTTGCATGTAGTCTCATTTAGCAACTTGTTAGCAATTGCCTTATTTAACACATTTAAATGCTTAGGACAACCACTAGCTCAACAAGTAAAGTGTACACCCCGTATAGGCTGAGTCCTTTGCGGCAGGCCCACGTTGGATTCAAACCTGCAGCCCTTTGCTGCACGTCATCCCCATTGTCTCCTCCATCCTCTCTCCAGCTGCCCTGTAATAAAGTCAGAAAGCCCTAAAAAAAATCTTTGAACACATCTAAATGTGTCAGAATTTACAGCGGGGTTTTGACTGTTGAAGTTTATGTTGTAAAACAAAATGTAAAAGTCTCGAAACCTTGTGTTAACCACAGACCTTATTTCAGTCACCTAACCGAAAACCCATTCAAAAAACCATTGACTGAGACGAGAGAACAGGAAGGGTAAAAATGTTAACTCATTTCTGGATTTTAGGACTCATTTCATTTCTGCACCACTCTATTACAGTGAAAGATGCACCGCAGTTGATGTGAGTTGTCCATATTTGTTTGCCTTTTTATAGGCTATATGATGAGGCTGAGGCTGCTAATGACAATAACTCCTGTTTGAAATTAACAAGACACAGTATACTCATGTAACATGCAATGGGGCATGTGTAGCTCAATGTTAGTCTTATTCTGCAACACTGAACAAAGTATAATTAATCTGTTTTATGGTTGACCATATTGTATTATGTTTTAGAAAGACTGAGAATAATGTATTGTGCAAAATCACACATGCCATTATTACTGAAGGCAAAAATATTATCACTTATGTTGAATGTGAAGAAAATATTTATGTAATTTTGTTTACTTTTTTTTAAATCTTGTTAGGGATTTCGTATCAATTTTTAGATTTTTTAACTGATATTGAATGTTATTTGAGTCTCTTAAATTTGTAACAAATAAGAAATCAATGACAGCAACTAATATTTATTGAGAGATGTTTGCTTGATGAAGTCTGTCACTTAAATTAGGCTACCACTGTATGTGATTTATTAATAATTCTTGTTTTATTTTTGTGCTTATAATTATCATTATTATGTATATTGTATGCTGATGTTGCCCATCCTCCTTTTTTTGCAAACTGAAGTGGCATGGCTGATTGTGCATTATTATACCTAACTAAATAAATACTTGATGTCTTTTTTGAGCTGTTGGGAAAATTCTCTCTGAAGGGCTTTCTGTCAGAAAGGTAGTTCTTGGTTTAAATACATACAGTACAGGCCAAAGGTTTGGACACACCTTCTCATTCAATGCATTTTCTTTATTTTCATGACTATTTACATTGTAGATTCTCACTGAAGGCATCAAAACTATGAATGAACACATGTGGAGTTATGTACTTAACAAAAAAAGGTGAAATAACTAAAAACATGTTTTATATTCTAGTTTCTTCAAAATAGCCACCCTTTGCTCTGATTACTGCTTTGCACACTCTTGGCATTCTCTCCATGAGCTTCAAGAGGTAGTCACCTGAAATGGTTTTCCAACAGTCTTGAAGGAGTTCCCAGAGGTGTTTAGCACTTGTTGGCCCCTTTGCCTTCACTCTGCGGTCCAGCTCACCCCA